CCCCCAAAACCCCAAAACCCCAAAACCCCAATAAGACTTAAAAATATTGAAAAAAATGAATTCAGAATTCCTAGTCTCAAGAAAGCTGGAATCAACGAAACTGCGAGGGAGCCAGAAAAGTAGAGAAATCCGGTTCTGCAAAGGAAATTTCTCCCGTAAGTCCTTACTATTGTGGTTTGCGTCTAACTCTGATGTCATATAGAGCTCAGTTCACTTCGGGGAGCCATTAAAGTACCTTTCTCCAATCGAATGTATAGAAAAATAATGCTTCAACACAAGAAAATGGGATTTCGAGGTCATTCAGTAATAAAAAGTAAGCAAGGTGAATTCCAGACATACATTCTCAGTCTTTTAGGGCTTCTAGAGTGTATCAGTAGTTAGCTCTAAACTTTTGACCCAAATCTCTAGAGAAATCGGCCTGAATACAAATAACTCTCAAGGATGACAGACTATTCAGCATCATGAAGAGGAGAATAAGCGATTACTCAGTGCCACCAAGAAGAGTATTAATAAAGATCTAGAAGAATTTATTGAAGACAAGAATACCGAAGTAAGCCTATTTCAGTTGACTTTCATTACAATTTTATTTAAACTTTTCATTCAAGGAGTAGCCTATTCGTAATTTTTTAAGGCTCTGATACAACTATTTGTACAGAATTATGGGCAAACTAGAAGGACACATTATAATTTCCGTCCAAGGCCACTGAAGAGGACAACTATGCACAGAATCGTTCATCCCAATGTGAGCACCCAAAAGATCTCCTATGGGCTTGATGACCCTAGACTTCCCCCTAGGGATAAATAAGAAAGTAAAGAAAGTAAACACCCAAATTCTACCTCAATTCCAAGCTACTTCAGCAAACTTTTTACCACACTCAAAGCCCTTCTTGAAAAAGCCGAAGGCGTCTCTCAGTACCTCGCTATCAAACTTCAATAAACCGGTGGCAAGGACTAAGAGTAGAACAAAGAAGCATTCTCAAGATAAATTTTGAACGATGTAAGGCATCTTCCCTGACTCATAGAGACCTCAACTTATCTCCAGTCAGGAGGTTCAACGAACAGGTAAGCAAAGTTGTAGACTTTGGTCCTAAAAGGCCCATTATAGCTTCTGCAAGTCCAAATGAAACTGTTTACCTTTAATATCCCTTAGGTTACTTTTACATACAAATTTCTACCATTGAGGCATAAACTTGATAGATATTCGACCATCAGAAAATCACTAGAAATCAAGTCCAAAGTATCAGGAAGGCCAAAGTCGGAAACAAGCTTAAGCCCAAGCAACGAGATATGTCTACCAAAGTGCTCATTAATAAAAACAAGCCTAATGGTAAGCTTTCCCCTTGCTAATTCTTAGCTCTTTCCACTAGCAACTACACTGTAAAGTTCTACAGAAAGTTAAACGTTGGTACAAGGTTTGACAAGAAATCTAGCATAAGTAGAAGGTCTCTGAGCGTCCTATAACTTCTAAATTTCAAGCCAGATTGTGATTTTCAATTAGCCAATCTCATAAAGGGGTTTTGGGGTTTTGGGGTTTTGGGGTTTTGGGGTTTTGGGG